TGTGAATTACGTAGGACCCCGGCGGGGTCCAGGGGGAGGCGAATCCCCCTGCAAAGTAGCGCACTCTGAACGTTCTTAGGACTGTTTTGAGAGGATAAAGTGAAAATGCAATAATAGGCGCATTATAAATAAGCGCAACAATAATTATAATAAATCAACAGTGGCAAAGCCAGGAATTGGAAAGAGAGGTGAACCAGGGAGGGATTTCACAGACTGAGGAACCACCCACCTCAGCTCCACTACGGTTGGGGCTGAGGTAAGAAAACTTGTACCGATGGTTTTTTTCATGTTTTAGAAGTATTCATTTTGAGTGATCCCAGGAAAGAATTTGTATTGGCTCAAGAACAAGCTTTAAAATTTTAACACTGTGTACAAAGGGGGGAGCCACAGCTTCCACGGCTCCCTCCTGGATACATCCCCGGTATTCAGTCAGTTGGCGATTCCAGGAATTTGAAATAGGAGGAGTTTACCACCTCAGCCCAAATCAATGGTGGCGGCACCAGCCGGGGCACGGAAGTTTCCCCGTCGGACAAGACTGGACCCTTTTCGTCTGACAGCACTACGAGGTTGTCCGATTTAAAAGTAAAAAAAAAAAAAAAATAAGCCTAATTGCCTATCCAAATAAAAATTAAAAACCAATCCCTAATAATATGGCCTAGAAGTACAATTACTAATTAGGCCAATATTAAGCCATAAAAAATCTCCCAGTGAACCGTAGGTGCCAGGGATTTTTTATTCCGTGACCCCGACCGAGGCTCTAGTCAGCCCCCTCGGTTCAGACCCCTCCGTCAGACCATTTGCCCCTTGTCGGCAAATTTCTGGAGCCACCGCTGGTCCACTATGGTTGGGCCTGAGGTGGTCTGCACCCTCCATTTTTTAAAGTCCCTCTAAGGGCCCCTCTATTTCAAATCCCTGGATTCTGCCACCGATTTATGATTATGTCACATCAAATGGCCGGAAATGGCACCCAGGCTTACAATTTCAATATAATTTTCTTTTTATCTTCATTGTTTTTAAAATTTTGAAAAACTAGGGGTGGGGAAGGCCGGCTGTCCCCATCCCATTAAATTAGCTACTGGTATTTGGGAATACAGTACTTCAGTCGAGATCATTGTTGGTTGTTTTCATTTGTGGCTTTTTAGGATAGGTACAACAAGCCCAGATGCTAATAATAAATTTGCTTGTCTTTTAGAAACAAAAAACTAGCCAGACGATCAAGGGAAGCTCCCAAAGTATGGGCGTTTCAAGTGAACGATGGCCGCCTGTTGAGGGACCAGCAATGGGTGCCTACAAGAACCCCACAAACACATATTCCATACAACTCTTTAAGTTACAATGGACTTGACGAGGTAAGTGTAAATGAAGTAGGGCCTTGAAGTTAGGCCTACCCTCAACTCAGGAAGGTAGTACAATATGTATGAAATTTATAATACCTAATCCAGAAAACATTCTGGCTTTCATCTGATGGTATATTGAGTACACCAAATGTTTACTGTATTTACAATATTAATATCCCACCATGTTGTAATAATATGCACATTCTAAATTCACATTGAAATTTCAAGTATAATTTAGAGTAGGCAGAACATTAAAAAATATATAAATTTGAAAATACAGTGAAGATAAAATAATAACAGTGTTGATACTGTGTAACGCAGGTGGGCCACATGCAGCCTGATGGCATTTTAATTGCAGTCCACGACAAACTTAAATGTGTGGCCCGACTTGCATCGTTGCTTGTTTTTATGGCATGACACCGAAAAAGTAACGTTACAACTGGGCACAAAATGGGTACAGCAGCAGCCCTGGAAAAAAAATTGTCTCCGACAATGAAAATTGTCTTGATGAATGCCTACAGCACCAAATGCTATTTGTACACTATACTGTATATACAGTAGCCCACCAGTATATTTTTTTCCCCCAAAATACCTCCAGGACATACATGATCCGCCAGTCACGTGGTCACACACTTCTGGTACAGCAGCAGTCCATTAAGATATTTCTGGAATGTCAAAGTTGAGTGCGGCCCTCAGTGTTAAATCAAAGTTCCCCAACCAATTTTTGTGCCCACCCCTGCTGTGTATATCTAAAATTCCTTTCACCCCTGCTGTGTATATCTAAAATTTCTTTGTTTATTTTAAAGAATACTCTGCATTGGAAATCTTGGATATCATATAAAGATGATTGTAAGACCAATAATCATGGTAAGACAGAAGACAATATGTTTTATTTATATTTGTATTTTAAATACAGTAGAACCCCTTCTTTGGAAAACCCCTATTTAGGACACTTTTTTAGTGGTTAAGATCTCCCCATAAAGTGGTCAACTGGACTTGTATTTCTACAATTAAATTATATTTGTGTATTGTTTCCACATATTGCTTTGCAAAAATAAGACAAGTTGTGAGATTCAGTAAGCTAAAATTTGGTTAATCATTTGCTATTTTCAACAAATTACGGTTATCAATATTTTCCCCACAGACTTGTCAATGTACAGAATTACACAGGTAAGGTCAGATCCTGATTAAAATTTCAACAGGGGTTCCAATTTGGAAGAGGCCAATTCCGGGACATCTGCTAGCATGAGCCTTGTAAACACATTATATGTTATCCCCTGGTTGGTGGGGGGGGGGGGGGGAAGAGGGGGGCTGCACTGATTACTAGCTGCAATATTATGGAATTCTCCCCAGGGAACTGAGTATGTGTTCCATACGTGTTTGATCCAAAGACCGGGGTAGTAAATGTGAAGCGCTTATAGGCTTTATGCATGAAGCGCTATATAAGACCGACATATTATTATTATTATTATTATTATTATTAACACACTGCTCATTGATTCTGTATTTTAAAATGCAAATATTATAAATCTTTATTTTTCATATGCAGGATGTCTTTCGGAAACTGTCGATCCAAGTGAAGGAAGTAAAAGAAAGACTCACTAACTCCACTGGTTCTGGATTTAAAGTAAGATAGATGTTTCAACATGAGCCTATATATATGTGTATGTAAATTTGAAATCATATTCAGCCACCGACAGTCCACTCTTGCACAAAAGTCTCAGCTTAGACAACTTTTTTTAAACCATGTTCAGCGAACCCGCTGCCAGCCAATAATAATTTTGAATAAAAATAAAATTTTATATTTGGCCAACTATCACAACGGCTGCCACAAAAAATGGAAATTTCAGAAAAAAATAAGTTTTCTTTATTTTTATTACGCCTGCTACTGCCTTAAAATCTCAGAAAATAAGATATGTATATTCTTCCTAATTATATAAATTTAAAGCATTTAACCATCCCATTACTACACTGTTAACCAGTGAAGCCTGATTCACCAATTTTATTTTTATTTTCTCCTCCGATGTTTTTTGACAAAACCATTTCCTAAATAAGAAAACAATTTTTATTTTTATTTCACCCTCATCTGACGATCTTTAAAAAAATATAGTTTGCGCAACAGGGTATAAAAAAAGCCTTGCCTTATAGATATCTCACCTGCCTGCCCAGTGGCATAAGGAAGAAGCCTGAGGCTCTTGGGTTGTTTTTTTTTTTTTTTTTCGGAACCATACACTACCACGTCTACCTGCTTATTTATAGACCAGCTATCTGGATAAATCTGATGATGATTTACATGACTTTCAATTATTTGCAGACATACCATTCTATTGGTGACAAATATGTCTCTGTTATCAAACCAAGTCAGCTAGCAAGTAACATCCCCAGCCCCTCAGTTTCAATATCATCCGATTACAATCCTGATAAAATGAGTGCTGTATTGACAACACAGTCTATAGGCACATCCAACAAGAGGCAAGTCTCATTTCTTAAAACCCTGTCCAGACTATCAAATTTAACAAAAACATGCCTAAATATGGTCGTGATGACATCACATCATGACCATACATGGGCATATAATAACTATATATGGTCATACTATCAAAGAAAATTTGATAGTTTGGATAGAGCATTACATACCATTTTAGGTTATGTCTCTTATGTACATGTATATTTTTTAAAATTAATATTAGAGTGCAGGGAACGCAAAAGCAGTTCGGAAGGTGACACACCATATTGCGCCTAAATAATCTAGAAATATAGGCCTATTATAGAATAATAAGCCTATGTTATATTTTCTCAATATGTTAATTTTGTAAATACAAAATACATGATCATCAGAAGTCATCTATGGGTGATTTTAACTTAATAATCTCAGCCTCAAACATGATTGATGAGACCTCAAACCACCACTCCTAGAGTGGATTATGCAAAATGTACAACACACATTACAGTATATTAAAATAAATGCTTCAATTGAATCTTTGCAGGAGACCCCATTCTACCACTGTATTATCTCGTCAGCGAATAAAGCTTGGAAAGCGCCCTCATTCAACCACAGGGACAAGACTATGTTACCATCAGTATTCAGATTCCGATCGACTGACGCCAGATATTATTGGAGCTCTTAGTGAGGGAGAAATGACAGACCGCGCTAAAGAATTTCCTGGGCCATTCGATATCGTGGCACGAGATTCTAAGCCATGCGAATCTGAATCTGAACGATTTATTGAGTATGACCCTGATTTGGAGAAAAGGGAAATTTTAGAGGTTAAAAAACTAGAAGAGGAGGACCTTTCCAAAAAGGAAATGGTTGAAAAGATGTTTGAATATGAAGATGAGGATGAAGTTCTGGAAAGGCATAAGAGTTTGGCAGCAATGATACCAGAAGAGGTGGATGAAGATGAGGTAATATTTGATTATCGTGGATTTAGTGCTCCATATAAACCACAAGCAGATTATGCTGAAGCTCTCAGTGAACCGTTTTGTCATATGGATCTCCTGGAATTAAGTCTATTGGACAAAGACTGGCGTACTGTAATGCGCAAAATGCCAGAAAATGACGAGCTAGCGATAATTGAACGTTTGATTGAATTGGAGAGAGCACAATTTAATACTGAAAGATGGGAAAGAAAAGAACGTATACCTCCCAAAAGGGCACCATCAGCTCTTCAAGAAACAAAAGGATGGAATGGCGAGGCTGCTCTTCCAACTGAAAGAGCACAGAGTGCTTTGGCACGACATAAGACCAATAAGAACTGTAGCGAATCATGCACTGAAATACTATGTGTGGGGGACTGCCCAAGTAAGAAACAGAAGAATATAAAATCTTGCTTACACTGTCGACAAGTGTATTGTGATGGTTCTTGTACTGAGTATGGATACCATTTATATGTTAGACAACCAAAGGAAGATGATGATGTAGTTCATCTCCCAAAATCTTGTAGACGTGGTTGTTGTAGTTCTTCTAAGATGAACACTATCAATTCAAATCAAATGATAATGGGTAGACCCAAGTCAGCATTTGCAACATTTACCAGTACAAAGCATAGTAGTGCTAAAGCTAAGCCTATGCAGTTGAGTGATACCCCAGGGGCAGAAAGGGTCCGTAGTGCCATGATGAGTTTGGGTTTAAAAGAACCAAGTAGACCTTCCACTGGTAAAAAAATAACTCGTGCCAGAGGCCGAAATGCCATGATTCCCGGTAAAAGCTATCAATCACAGCGCAGGTATTCTTTGACGGAAGAGCCACTCAGTACTAGTGCCGCTAAAATGAATCCAAAAGGCCTACATTACAAGAAAAAATCAAGACCAAAAGCTGTTAAACGCTGAACACGCCTTCTGTCCTAAATAGGAATGTAATTATCTTTGATGTTAAGGAGTTGCAGTAATTGAGGAAGTGTTTCAATTGAAAACACTAGAATAGTGTTGAGGCAATATATTTTCTATAATTAAAACATTTCTAAATAATGGTATATTTATATTTACATTTTTTAAAAATTTCATGAACTACCGGTAAATGACAACGAATTATGAGAGTTATAATAAATTAACTATTCAGAAGATGAAATAATTTACAGTATATTGAAATGCCATTAAGAGGCTTATGTAGTGGAATTGTTTTTAATAGCAGCAAGAACCTATTGTCCATAGCTACAGTACTTAAGTTAGGTGTTGTCATTTAACATGGGCGTCGTCTGTTTAGTTCCACTAAATGGGTCAAAATACTAAATATGACCATTGAGTTTTTATTGGAACAGGAATTTAGTTTCCTTTCCTTTCCTTCTTGATTTCTGCACGCCATCAAACCAAAACCAGTCTACGCCCTTTTTATCAGCTACAGCCACCCTTGGGATATATGTTTAGAAGTGCTATAATAAGTGTGTGCATATTGTAAGTTTGTGTACAGTATTTAAAAATAAATTATGACAACATACACATGCTGTCTATTTGCAAGCGGTTTCTGTTCTGTGTATGAATGGCTGTACCAGCTTATTAAGTAATTTAAACTAGCAAGTAAATACTGTAATGGAATTGAACTGAGCTCTTTAAGCTCTATCCACACTATCAAATTTTCTGACAAAAAAATGTGACTATCAAATTTTCTGACAAAAAAATGTGACAAGCCCAAATTTAGTAATCCTATGCCTATATATGGTCATGCTGTGATGTCATCATGCCCATATATGGGCATATCACACTTTTTTGTCACACAAAATTTTATAGTGTAGACAGCTTTAGGAACCCACGGCAGCACCACCTCTGTTAGTAGATTGGGCAGTATAACAGACAATTCCATATACATTACCGAAGAGTATACTAGTTCCTTAACATACACACAGGTCATGTTGAAGATACTGTACCTATGGCTTTAATACCAAAAGATGGTGTGCTACAAACTGTACTTCACCAGGTGCTGCTAAGATCTCCATAGTAGACAGATTGGTTACCACCAATTCTAACCAACTGTTTTATGAGCTCCTCTCTGATAACTGTACAAGTGTACAGCATTATTATAATATTTTTTAAATATTTACATTACTATAATAATAATTTATAATCATTTTACAAAAACTATTAGTAGTCTTGGTGCTGTTAATGTATTGCTCGTGAACAATGTATACTGTCAGTACTGTTTTCTTAATTTTTGTTACAGAATTGTTTACCAAATTAACGAGTAAACAATAAATGCAGTGATAACTTCAAATAAGATGGTATAATACATACTCCCGAATATCGAAATGTACGCCATCGTGTCGGGATTCAATATTTCAACATTAATTATGTCGCCACTCCTGATGATAATACTGTATAAGTAATGTCAAAATATTGAATCCTGACATTATTTTGATACTTGGAGTATGTATTATACTACCTTATCTGAGATTAATCAGTGGACCTTTCAGTGATAACTTCATTTTGCAACATAAAGACACAACATTTCAGTATGGTTTCAAGCACCTTTAATTATGTACTTGCATTAAACTACATTAGATTTTTGTACACATCTCTGGCTCTACAGTATTCCTTTCTTAATATATTATAAGTTGAAAAGGACTCATGTTCACTTATTAGATACTGAGCTAACCATCATCATATTTAACACTTATCTGTAAAATTTCTGTCGAAATCGTCACATCCGCCATCTCGACGTTAACTCTGAAAAGAATAATGAGTTGAGTTTCATTAAACAAACTTGAAAAACTTCAATATTGCTATGGTGAATGCATGCATGCCTGGCAAGTAAATACTAAATGCTATAATATTTTCCAAGTGGGATTTATCATTTTTAAAATAGTGATTAATAAACACATAGAATATGCACCCTATATGAGACTAACAATTGTTTGTTACAATGCTGTCTTCAAAGACAATATATACAATATAAAAATACCTAATGTTGTGTTGATATCAGCATATAGAATTTAATCCTATAGCAAAGCCATCTCTACTATAAATACATTTAATTATTGTATCCCAACATACCTCATTAATGTCATGTGACTGTTAAGCACATGCACAATTAACGCTAAATCTGAAAGTGAGGCACATGGAGACTAATTGCATTTGATCATGATAAAAATGTTTGCTATTGTATGGATAGCACTTAACTAATAATATTAATTAAAACACTTCATCTAGAGTTGGCACCCACATGTTGCAACTAACTGGCTATTTCATAAACAGTTGAACAAGATATTTTAAAAGTAAATTGTCCTAGAGAAAATTTCTAACACAATGAATGAATGAAAATATTTAAGAAATAAAAGTGTAAACAGAAGTTTACGTGTACTGAGCTTTTTTCCTCATGGCGGGTTCCACGATGAGAAGCCGGTTGCTGCTACCGACAAATGGCTTGTCTCAAAAAAAAAAGAAAATGTCTCATTATATAATTATATATATTACACTATTTAAACATGGTTTCATATTTGAAAGCCCCGAGAAGAGCCAAATATTTTCCATTAGGAATAGATAAAAAATAGCAAATATAAATAAGATAGATAACATGGTTTTTAAAACATTTGTTAAATATTAAATCCCTTTAGAATAGAAATTTTGAATGTCCAAATTGGAAACATTTTATATGGTCATCTCATTAGTATTAAAATATATCATATCTAAGCATTGTTTAATATTGTTAGGCCATGGGAAGTGGGAATATCCAGATACTTTCCATTAGAATAGTAAATATGAATATGAAAGCATATTTTTCCAAATGCTTAGAAAATTTGAGTATACATTTCAGCATTGAGAATCTTCTCCAATCTTAAATCTTATATAATTATCTTATATCTTCTTGGTAAAACATACAAAAACCTATTTTGATGATAGTCCAAGCTATAATTATGTACATTGTTGAATATTTTCTGTTTGTTGTAGAATCCAAGGTTTATGTTGCTTTGGATTTCAAGTGAAGCCAGCGTAAATAGCAAGTATTTGTAAGTTACATTAACAATAGAAATTATAAATAATACATTTCTGGCCATTATTATAAATCATTACCCTGATTGCAGATATCCAGGTTACACCAGATTATGACTCAATACTTCTGATGAATCTAGAAACGAACAGATTAAAAGTAAATACACAACTGATTAAAAAACGGACAAAAACAATAACCTAATGCCGAATCCAAATGGAAAAATAGGTGTATGATCTCATCTCCAACCTGACTAGCGAACTTGTCAATCTCTATAGAATTAAATAATAGTGTTGTAACCAACAGAAATATCAGATTCCAGAAACTGCAACCCCCTGCCACAAAAACATGGACATGCTCCCAGTAAAACTTTTCAATCTTGTTTCAATATTGTTTTCAGATAGATGGTTTTGAAGTGTATAGCAGTAATAGTAAAAATTAATTCCATTTTGTTTATATTGTTCTCATTAGTTTATTGTAGGAATAACACTCTGATTTATGATACACTGTAAAACCTCAAATTGAAGCCCTGGGCTTCTTTTATTTGCTAACTTTGGATGGGCTTCTTTTCTAGGCCACTTTTGCAAAGTAAAGAGGGGCTTCTTTTCCAAATGAATGCAGTAAATTTGGGCCACAGTAATATCAGTCTGTATCATGGAGTGTATTTAACGGCATTAAATCACCTAAACTACTGTATAGAGGAATTTATCTTGTTTTTTTCAAAATCATGTATAGTGTATGTATTATCTTGAAAAAAAGTCTACGCTATTTGAAAAGAAGCCCTTTCGCGGCTAATTTTGCAAACTGAAGAGGAGGGCTTCAATTCGAGATGGGCTTCTTCTCGAGATTAAGCCCAATGGGCTTCAGTTCAAGGTTTTACAGTATCTTATTTACAGTGCCCATTGCAATAAGATTGTACACAGATACATTACCTATAAAACATCCATATCCTATAATCAGACAATAATAATGAATAATTAATCAATTATAACAATCCGTATTAAAGTTGTATTGCCTGCTTACGAAATTGAAATCACTGATACACATCACATCATCAACTCTCGGTGTGGAAAGAAACATTTGTCTTGAGCATTCATAACATAATAATTGACAATTATGATTAAATAATTATTTAATTATCTGTTTGTTGACTCCAGCACTTACTAAACTTAATGATGCTTGTCATTGGACAGAACAGAAACAATCCCAGATGATAACTTATTACCAAAGTAATTACCAAGGGAAAGTCTATCTCTCTCTGAAAAAAACAAAACAGCATTAGCAACATTATATCAAACAAAATAAAACCGGCCCATTCTGATAAAAGTTGAACATGATTTATTTCAAAATATCCATTTTGTCAAATATTCTATTCTTCAATTACAATATTGAAGGACAAGTTACCAAGACTGAAGACATTTTTCATATAAAATTCACACTATGTTTTGCTTAACAGTAATTAAATTAACCTTTCAACTCTTCGCAGATGTGTGTGATATGAATACATTACACATAATATAATTTTTATACTTAAAGGATGCCCACTCAAATAATAAAATTTGAATTTGCAAAAGTTAAAGAGGAAAAAATGTGTATGGAAGCATTACACATTTTTTATGGTCTAGATCAGATGGGCTCAATTAATTCTTTTGGCAAAAAAAAGTTTATTAATAAACATGAAATAGAATAATATTGTAGCTGTTACACACAATTTAAGTCAGATGGTCCAGGTACAATGTACCTACTGCTACGTTAACATGCAACAAGTGCCATTTTCAAGTTTATATTTTTGTGGCCTGAGGGTCACCATTAAAAATCCCATGTCTAGTATTAAAACGAGTCTTGGCTGGACATATCACTCTTGGCTGGACATATCACTCATTCACATTACTGCTAGTCATAAAGAATGGATTATATAAAGAGCTCAAGAAAAATGTTATCTGCAATGAACATGATTTATAAAATTAAAGCACGCTAAGACTATGTGGTATATGCCATTTCAATTTCATATCATGTTACATCATTTATCTCTCCTGATCTCTAAATCTATACAGTGGCTGTGCCAGTCCATGGGGCACAGGAACCAATTTAAGGAACCCTAGACGCTCGTCGGGCAAGCAGGCACTCATTTTGTTGGGAACACTGCTTTGAAAAAGCATTTTTACAGTCCGATAGTGCCCTGGGTGCCTATCTGAAATTGCTCTAACAATGGTGGGGCTGATGTGGTTCTGGGACCCTTTTACAGGGAACCTCTTGCACTGACCCTGAATTCATGACATTTTAAAATTAATTATGTAACAATTCCCAAATCACATTTATTTAACAGTAACTAACGGAATATCTAATATTAATCTTCATTAGCTGCCCCTTTTACATTTACTGTACCTATAACACTAGTAAGCCTGCTTCAAGTTTGGTAAACTATAAACCCATTCTATTGTGAATTGTTACACAAAATATTAGCAATTGAAAAAAACATCTTCAAAAATCATATATTGAAAAAACAATATCAAAATAATAAAATATTAATAAATTATGATGGAAAGAGTTGAATAAACATAACAGACAAATTATATCACAAATTAAAATAAATTTGCATATATAGTACTTTACACCAACTTCTTTTTTTCTGAAAAATTTCTCTGTCTTTTAAAAAGAGATAACTAAGTTTTCATAGAGAAATGACTGAGCAAATTGTTTCACTCATGGCATGTTACTTTACTAAGCTAGTGTAGTGTGTATGCTGCACATGAACAAGCTATTGTTTTTATAGGTTACTTGGCTCTCTTAGCTCAACTTGTAGCTCAAGAACCAACTCACGGCGAGGGATAATACTCTTGTGCCAAAAAAATCTTTGTTCCACATGGCCACAAAACGTTATTAAAATTATCACCAAACTCAACTGCTAAGTAGAGTACCATGAATGAGCATTTGCTCAGGTGTTTACACTTACTGGGCGTACATATTATACAAGTAGAAAAAAAGTAAATACATTTCATGACCTAGCTACTGTATATCAGATATACACAAAAGGCATGTTTGAACGTCACAGGTGTAACATCAAAAAGAGATGTGGGCACTAAATAGGGAATCCCTCAGTATAATACAGTACAGTTCTTACACAAGAATATTTACTTTTATATCTTCTCCTGTAGGAATGGATGGCGTAAAGCATCACTCAATGAGATTCGCTTGGATGGGTCTAGCATCAGACTCTTATCTAACAGGTCCTTTAATTGGATGACTTTTCGAAGTTGTGATTCTGGTAGGCGTTGGTATCCAATTAAATCTGCCATTAGATCTTTCGTTGGATTACTAGTAGACATAACTGTTACTTTTTCCTAGAGGAAAGTAATCAACTTATTGAGAAACATTAAAAAAACCTTAAAAATAGAAAATGTAATAACTGTATTGTTGATTGTAAAAAGAAATGAACATCAATTCCCCCTGTTTACAACTCTTATCACAGTAACAATCCAAAAATCAGATCTGGTTCCAGGGTAAAAACCCTTAGAAAAAATGACTTCTTTCCTCAATCAATTTTGAAAAATTAATTTCAAAATTGATTTTAACATCTCCACTCATGCAAAATTTACCGCAAATATTTACTAGGGAATGTAATGCAGATAAAAAACATATAAAAACAATAATTAATTAAAAACTACAATGAACAAATCAATTAAAAATATCAGAACTGTTACTTACCCGTTCTGTGATTTTGTCTATCTCAATAAACTTGAAGTTACAGTTACTATCAAAATGATTATCTTTGAGGAAGCCTTTGCGGATGATCTTATTTGGCATTTTGCCTTTAACATCCATGAACAACTTCAACATGTGGTTGTTGGTCTTCCCTGGGAACATGATCTTGCCGGTGTATAGTTCATAGATTGTACATGCTGTGCTCCATAGATCAATAGCATAGTCATACTTCATACCAATAACTAAGAAGACAATAGCATAATTTAAAATTGCTTGTCTTAAAGCATTTTGCTGAAAATCAGAAGCAGGTTTTGAACCAGCTACCTACAGATTATTCAGCAAACGATTGCAATTTCCCCTGACCTCACTAGCTCCGTCACTGGATGGACAATAAGTGTAGGCCTACTAGCTAGCATCACTGACAAGTAATAATATTATAAGGACCAATATGTTAACTAGAATAACATTACTAATCAAATTACAAAGACCTGCACACTTCTTCCTATTGCCTCAGTCTAGAAACAAAAATCTAAAAAGACTGATTTACTAATAAAAAGTCCAAACTTACTGATTTCTGGGGCTCTGTAGAACCTACTGACCAAATAAGGAGTTATGTCAGCCTCAGCAACATGGGATGCAGAACCAAAATCACACAATTTTAACACAGATTTAGAATCATTTACCTGCACACAGATATAATACAATATACAACAATTGAACGTCTTATTTATAATGAATATAGCAAACACATTTTAAGAAAACAAATGAAAGCATAATGTGGGCGATTTACTATTGAAGCCAATTATTTTGAAATTGAGAATTTATTACAAAAGTCTATAATGCACAAGTCTTTAGGTCCCCCCCCCCCCATGTATTTTGGCAGGCAGTAGGCCTACTGTATATAATCATCTTCGGATTTATCATCGTCATTGTCTTTGTCCTCGCTGTATTCGTTCTCGTTCTACTCATTATCATTGCACACATTATAATTACTGATTATGGAACCAACTCACCAATATGTTGTCTGGTTTAATATCTGCATGCAGAACGTTGCACTTTTTTAACAGCTTGAGGGCAAGGAACAGTTGATGAGTGTAGGATCGAACAGCTTTCACATGCAGGCCAACACCTTGCCCATACCGCTTCAATATCTCACGCAGATTCAAACTAAAACGATCATTTATAATTTCAGCACATGTCATTCTCGTAGTTCATTTTTAATCACTGTAATAAATCCTAGATTATCTTTAATTGTGTGTAGTCTATTTTGTGCTCTTGCAAATTCTGTTTTTGGTTTTGGAAAACAAATTATACTGTATTTGAGTTTATTCTTTATGTGGGAGGTATACTGTGATGATTTTATAATTACCGTCCTATTCTGTTAGGTTAACTGGCTAGTCATCTACTGTATACTGTAGTGGACTTTCCTAAAGCTCAGTCCAAATTAGACTTTTTTTCAGGTCAAACTTATCCATGTACAAAACATTCTTCCTGGTAAAATAACCGCACAGTAATTTTAACCGACCGAATGTGTTTGGGAAGAAAAAGATTGAAGTTAGATGATGAAATCAATATTTAGAAGAAATGGTTTGAAGACTTACCTTAAAGATTCAAAAACAAGGCAAAGATGGTTTTTATGAAAAAAATGTCTAAATAGACGTAGACAATGATATTTATCCTCTCTGTCAGTATCATTCAACCTCTTGAGGTATTCAAGCTCTTTTAGTCCTGTCTTGTGCCTTTTAAAAGAATAACATGACATAATATGTAATGAGATGCTGCTCTGGTAAGTTTAGCTCAACACTGAATAAAAAAAACCACCAGAAGTTAAATTCATGAATAAACTCATTCTATAGGAATACAGTAATAACACTAAGAATTAAAATATGAACAACTGTACTTAAATGAAGTACAAAACATAAATTTTCTTCAATCATGTAATAAAATTGATTTGGAAAATGAAATTGCTGAACTTACATCAATTCATTGTTACGAATGATTTTAATGGCCACTTCAAGCTGTCCCCGTGCAACATCGCGAGCCCTGACCACGTTACTAAACACACCTTGACCGGTGTAACCGTATACTTGATAGCGTTTATCCAATGTTTCACCTATACGAACACCTAAATAAACACATAAAACATGCAATTATTTAGTGATGAATTAATCATAATTCATATCATGGCACTACTATCTTTTCTGGTACCGTTCCCCTGAAGATTTAAAGCAGTCAAAGTACCTATGTGATTACTGAAGGGTAAACAATTATCACATTTCTCGAGAGGTAAGCTGCACAGCTGAGGCCTATGTAATAGACAATTGCCTTATTCTTCTTAAAATCAGTGATTTAAAGCAGATTAAGATTGAATTAGGTTCAGCTCAGGGTTCAATGATTAACTATATTATAAAGAAAGAGGATGTACTGTCTTATTACTTACGGTAGTAGCCTTCTGCATCATCCCAATTATCTGTCAGATTTGGATTTTCTTGATGATACTGTCCAATACCTTCTATGATTGTAGGACTCTGGAAAGGGGAACAAACACCGAAAATCAGAAGTAAACCCATTTAACTTTGTTAGTGGTATAATAATAATTTACAAATAGCAAATATTGGTGAGTATCTCTATACTTTACACCAAATTATATAAAATAAACAACTCTTAAATTTAACAATAACAGGTGTATAATGCTTGTAGTATACCACGTATGAAGTTCTGAAAAGAATTCTTGGTTGAGAAATATCAGGTGCATTGGCAAGCAGTGTTAAATCTCAAAGGATCTTAAATCCACCTCTGCTTGATGCATTCATGGACACCTAGGGGTATGGGTGGAGATCAGTGGAGTAACAGTAAACAATATTAAACTAAACTAGAAAAATGAATTTTTTTTTATTTTTTTATTTGGGTATATTTTATTGAGATAAAAAACATCGAAAACACAATCTTTGGCAGCATTAAGCTGAATTGTAGATTGGGTAATTACAATAAAATCTATAAAATTTGTGATAAGACTAATAAATGTACAGTATATAAAAATATGAATTAAAATAAATTGTCAACTCACATTAAACTTATCACTAAACATATCCATTTCACTGAACATATCAAAGCCATTTGGTTTGGTCTTAGTTTCACCTGAAAAAATACAACAAAGCCAATACTTGTGATAAGTAGGGAAAAATTGTAATAAAACTTAAGCCCCTATCGCACTGGACTTAATTTGGTCAAATTAACCAAGTCACTGGCTAAATTGACCAGAAAAAACCCAATCCGAACGTCGGTTACAATTGCCTCAGGGTTAATTTAACCAAGCCGAATGGTTAATTTTACCGACCTCAGCCTGCCCAGTAAAACTTACCACGCTGGTCAAGAAGTCCAATCCGAACGTGCAACACGGTTAAAACTTCCTGAGTTCATGACCTTCGGTACCTCACGCATGCGCTTCAATCGTCTGACATGTCAGTGTCTTCTTCCATGTTGACACCGCTCGAACAAAACCAGAAGTTGAAGTCACAAACTAGTGCCCTCAATAATATTTTTTATACACAAGGTTAAATCTTGGTAAAACTATGGTAAAACTATCCGCGTGAATAATCCAAGTGCGAACAATGGTGAAATGTACCTATGACTTTGGTTAAAGTTACCCTGGTTAAATTTACCATTGTTTAAATCCAGTGCGAACAAGGCTTTAGTATATTTTATCTTAATCTAATAAAATGACAACTTACAGATAATCAAAATTCAGTCAAATATCTATTTCACAAAAGACAATTTAAACCTCTTCCTAAAGACAGACCACTACTGTATTGTAACTTGCAATTCAGGCCTTTAACTGAAAGCATGGTACTGGTACTGGATTAAGTAACCACCTTCATAGAGACATCTAGTAGCCATTGACATAATCTTGGCATTTGGATGGTGCTACTTTTGAATGAGAGTGACATACAACCACATTGTAACAGTCCATGAAACAATGTTAAGACAATTAACAGTTAAAACATCGGAACTAGGTACCACTACCACTAGGCTAACATCTTTAGTTAACGTATCTAACTAAATGCACATATTGTTTCACTATTAAGACTGAACTCTTACTGGCTATGAAAACTTATTCTGAGAGTGTTGATTGTTACTTACCATCTTGAGCAGGTTCAATAACAATATTGCTTCGTTTTTGGTCAATGGATTTCTCAAAATCAAGTTCTTCCTTGTCAAGAGTTTCTGTAGTTTCTTCATCAACTGATGAATCACTGTCTGTGTCACTACTAGAAGTCACAGCACGGCTCTCAACTTTACTCTCTGGAGAGGGCGAGCGAGATCCAGATTGCGAATTGACGTCGCTATTTATTTCACTTTCAGCTACACTACCCTCCCTGCTCACATCTGCACTTATACCACCGCCAAGTTTCTAGTAAAGTCAATAAAATACATCAACAGTCCCTTTTTAAATACAGTATTGATTATTTGTGAATATTTCTTGAATTTTTTAAATTTTGTACAAAGTAAACTACTGTAACTTAATTGGTACTATTTTTGGGTTCTGAATTTAGGATTGGCCCTGGGGATCCACTGCAGGACAGCCAGAATACAATGCCACCCCTGATGACTGGCCCCTGGGGACACATTAGAGCCACTGCAGTGCCATCTGTGATGATTAGTGCCAGGAGACCAATGACAGACTACCCATTAACAGTTCAATAAAATGAGAAAGCTAAAATATGCCAATCTTTATCTGTTCTTTCCTATTTATCAACAAACAATTCTATTACAGTACCTGTAATAACTGTTGTCTTTGAAGTCGCCTCTTTTCAATCAACGTCTCTTCATCTTCCATCTCCTCAATATCAACATCTTCAATTCTGAAGTAGGTAAGTCATAAGGTAAATTATATTAACTTACTTACATTATCTAAATTCTCATCCCAAAGTCCACCAGTCATCAAAGGAATTAATCGCACAATGTCCCATCTTAAAGTTAGCATAGTGCAGTGGCAGATCCAGGAATTTAAAACCGAGGGGCCCAGGGAGGGACCTCAACAGATGGGGAGTCTAGACCACCTCAGCCCCACCATGGTGGGGCTGAGGTTAGAAAATTTATGATTATGACACCTCCAGATGGCCACAAATAGTACTCTGAAACCTAAATTTGATTATGATTTTCCTTTTTTCTCAATTTTGTTTATAATCTTGAAAAATTTATAGGGGAATCCACCACTGTAGATTTTTACTTAAAGACAATAGTGAAAGTTGAAACAAACACCATGAAGTTAAGAAATTTTCCAAACAAGAAAATGTAATTGTTCCAAAATAAATTTGTTTAATAAACATAAAAGACTCACTCGTCCTCAGATGAAGCATTCTTCTGTAAAGACTGTCCCTCTGAAAGACTTCCTTTGAATTTATCTTCCTTCGGAGAGTAACTACGTTTTCTCCTTTCTCTTCGGTCTTCAGATGAGTATCTACCATGTCTCCGATAAGGTGACCTGTGTCTGCGATGCATTGCACGATCAAACCGCTCTGGTGGGGATCGTCTCCTGGGAGGTGTTCTTCCTCTTAAACTTTCCAATGATAGTATTCTTCTACAAAAAAAAGATTTTTTATTTATCATAAACATATATTAAGTAAAGTTAGTTGCCCTTAGATTAAAAAAAAATACATTTTAATAAGATACACTATTTTTCTAAAATGATACACATTATAATCATGTATATCTGAAGTTATCTTTACGTACAGTAGTACATAGGGGTCTCAAGTCTCCCACAAGTCATGGGAGTTCCCGGAAATCAGGACGGCTGACCCGCACCCGGACAACTCCTTGACAATAATCCATTTCCTGCAAATTCAATAAATCTGCATGTTTTTAGTACAGTATTAGCCCTTTATTATCATCTCTCATGGAAGTCAGTGTCGATGGGTATCACAATGAGCAACAAAACAAAATTAGATGTTAAGAAAGGTTGTTTAAACAGAGCTCCTGGAAATGACTTCTTCCAATCTGGGACCTCAGAATAATTTTTTGATAACTATAATGACATTTGACCTTAGAGTGGAGTTGAATAGCTTGGTGGTTAAGATGCTTGCCTTCCAATCCCAGGGTCCTGGGTTCAATTCCTGCCAGTTGCAGGATTTTTTCTCATGACATAAACAACTCCACTCCCTAAATCTCATATTGAGATTTAGTTTGTGTAAAGCATCGTGCGTGTAAGTTTGTCTTGTGTAAGGGATTGTCACCTACAAGTAGGACAGTGATATATATTCGCTATTGGCAATCCTTGGCACATGTGTTGTGTGCCTAAAGAATAATAATAATAATAATAATAAAACAAATTACAACTTCCTCCCCAACAAATACCACAGCAGATATTGAATCTTCTTTTTTGTACAGGTTGGAACAATGCTAAATGAACTTACAAACAAGGCTTAAAAAGTGCAGCTGTTTTATTCAAAATTATGGTGTCTCACAGATTTCAACCCAGAATGCTTGAATACCAAGACAAACACTATAACCACAGGAAACTGCACTGCAGATATAATCCTTATGATCTATTAGTTGATCAGTAATACATACCTAGAATTAGGGGATTTGCTTCTCCTCCTTCCAGAAAATGGTGGAGACCGACTCCTACGTCTTTCTTTTCTGGGTGGTGATTTAGGACGTCGTAATTCTTCATAATCGTGTGTTCTAAAGGGCTTACGCTCTAAAGATGTTTTCATTCTATCTGGAGTGTCTCGTCTTCTTATAGGTGATTCCCTCCTAATATCTGGCGATTCCCTTTTCTTATCTGGTGATAGCCTCCTACGATCAGGTGACGCCCTTTTATCTGCTGAGGGCCGTCTCCTCTCTGGCGAATGCCTTCGTTTGTCTGGCGATTGTTTCTCTCTATGTGATACTCGATTCCTTACTGGTGAATCACGGCTCTTTGGGGAGGATTTTCGTTGGCTTTCTCTGTCTCTCTTTGATGATTCATAATCTCTAAATCTATCCAAAGAGCCACTCTTTTTTCTAGATAATAAAGACTTTTCATCTATTCTCTCATCTGCGCGAGAGGAAGTTCGTTTTGAGCTATGTGTTTTTGGAGACTTGCTCCTCTTTCGTTTTTTTTTCTCACGAGGTGAGCGGCTTTTTTTACGGGAATGTGATTTTGAATGCTTAGAGATTTTAACTTCTTCTTCAGAAGATTCTATTGAAACGTCGACAAGCATTTGCTGAGGTAGTGGAGTTTCCTGTTCAGAATGGCGATCAGATTCATCTACTTCATTCACTTGACCTTCCTCTTCTTCCTCACCAGAAGAACGGTAACCTTGAGCTATTAGAGAAATTGCAGATTTGACAGTGACATCATTGGGATTGTATCCTAAATCACCAGCCAATTCTGCTGTCAGTAATTCTTTTTGTCTCTCCAGTTCATCTAAATAGGCAGCATCATCTACGGAATCATTGTTCTTAATGGTCTGCCTATTATCAACTTCTTGATCAGATACTGATGACTTCTCTTCATCTGTATGCTCCCGCCTGCTACGACGTTTCTTGTGTTTATGTCGATGCTTGTGGCGTTGATCATCAGAGCCTTCATTACGGGTACTTTTGTGTTTGTGTTTATGCTTGTGTTTATGTTTGCGCTTCTTCTTGTGGCTACGTTTATGCTTTGATGAACTACAATCTGGGGTATCACCTTGTTTTTCGGCTTCTTCAGGTAAGTCAATATCACTAATAAAAAGAAGATAAAGATTCAAAAAAGGTTATCCTGTACAGTGCAGGTGTAGTTATGTTATGTTTCAATATATCACCGATCATCATGACCACAGAACAGTAATCATTATAACATAATTATTAGTATATGCATTTCACTGCAAATGCAATTACAGATTATCTATAAATACAGTAATAAGTAAATGTAGTTTAGGCCTATCCTACCTAGGCATAAG